CCCCCCCCCCTCCGGGGGGTGGGGGATGGGGCTATCCCTTAGGGGGGGGCGTGGGTTTTTTGTCCCTCCTTTTTTTTTTGGGGGTGGGGGAAACCCCTTTTTTTTGGTTTAAAAAATCTTCTCCCGGGAGGGGAAAACCCTTCTTTTTTGTTCCCCCCTTGTGGGGTTAGGTTTCCCCCGGGGGCGAAAAAATTTTTCAGGCAAAAAATGGGACCCCCCCCCCCCCGGGGTAACCCGGTTAATAAAGGGTGGGGCGGATGGGGGGGAACCCCTTAAGTCCCCCCCAATTTTTTTTTTTTGCCCTTGTTTTAGTTTTTTTGGTCCCCCCTTGCCCCCCCCCCTGCCCCCGTTTCCCCCCCCCCCCCCCCCCTGTGTTTCCACCAAGCAGCCGACTCTACGCTCGGAATTTCGGGGGTGAGCTGAAGTTGAAGCACTCGGCCTCCGGCAACGGCACGGATGCGACTCTTCAGCTCAGTCGGCACGGTACTCGCCTGGAACCCCTTGTGTGGCCCAAGACCCGGGACAAGATCGAGGAATTGTACGCGCACGTTCACTTGTAGTAGTAGGAGGGGTCGCGTTTTGTTCTCCCTGCTTTTTTACGGAGAAAGTGAGTGGCGCGGGCGACGAGTGGGGGAGGCGACGAGCTTTTGTTTTCTCTTTTTGCGATCGCAGTCTGGAGACGGAAGACTCGCACGCGCGAGTCAAGAGAGATTGCGTGTGGGTCTGCGTTGTTTGTAGCCCTCGCTTGTCTGCGTGTGGTAATTGGAAGATGGAGGGCGCGCGCGCGCGGGGGGGGGTGTACTCATAGTCGTGCATGCCGTAGTCGTTAGACCATTGACCTCGCATCCCTACAAAGCCAGGACGGAGCACGCCGGGTTCGCACCGGACCAGGCTCTCACATCACCAAGCGCGAAGCGCCGTGAGGTATTCGGCGAGTCGCATGAAGGGTGCGCTGCATCCTGCTATAAGGGTGTTCGGTATCTTGTGCTTACTTCCTTGCGTACGAATGACAGCTGCGTATGACTTAGTTTATTTTCTGGTGCTTTCACTTCCAGAGACAAGCTAAAAGCACTACTGTGTGACTGCCTCGAGGATGTTTGACCATTTTAACACAACGTGGTGCGATCATCCCCCTTGTGCGGAGTCAGGGTTCTCGACCCCACACAACATGATCTACTCGACCACCATTCATGGTTACCACAAAAAAAAAGAATAAAAAAAAAAACGTAGCCTGGTTGCCGAGTTCACGAAGTGACTTGGCTTATCGTCGTTGCCAAGCGACGAAAACCCAATCCCGATGGCAAACACCGAGGGGGGGGCTTGTTTTACAACGTCATTGCCAAGCGACGAAAACCCGACCCCGATGGCAAACACCGGGGGGGGGGTAGCGGCGGCGGCGGCGGGGGGGGGGTAGCATTGGTTTCTTCCCACGCGGCAGTAGTGCTGCCCGGAACCTCCCTGTCTGTCCCCTTGTGGACATGATGATTTATCAGTCCGTTGTGGTGGCGGATCTACGGAGATTCGTGCTTGCTGTGGTGGTGACAAGATTTTCTGGGTGGTGGGCGGCTGGCACAAGGTCGCATTTCATCGTTTATGAGGCAGGAGGCAACGCTGAAAAGGGTAGGTCAGATACTGACGAATGTGTCGTTCGTCGGTGTGTGAGTTAGCTAGTGATCCGGCCGTGAGCGACCTGTTGTGAGTATTGTTCATGCAGGGCGGCGTGCGGACGGAGGGAGCAGGGCGCCCATGGCGCAGGTTGTTTCGTAACGGAAATATAGTGGCAGATGTGTGTTTGTGACCGGTTCTTGCGCTTGTTGTGTTGTCGGATGCAGGTATCAGCATCGGGCTGCTGTTACAGTAGTACTGCTGCAGATGCCGTTTCTTCCGCAAGGGCTTGCTCGTCGTGTCCCTTGTGTTTCGGTTCAGCGGGGTGGGCTGGGTCGGGCAATCAGCACTAACTACTGTAGGCGAACCCATTCGTCGTTTCGTGATAGAGCCCGGCTTTCTGTGGCACGTAGTACCGCCGTGACAAAGCGAGTGGATGCACCGGGCGCTATCGTTTTGAGCGATTTCTTGTATTTTTTGGGCACCCCCAGTGCCCATGACCCCGTCGGGTGCGATAATACCGATACCGGTATTGTTTTCATCTCGTTTTTATGTAGCTTTTCCAGGGCACCCCGGTGCGAGAACTTGATTACTTGTGCGATGCCAAATGATATAAAAGCGCAGCGGCCTGATTCTTGGTGCCGCTTTCCTGTAGTTAGGCACCCCCGGTGCGATGTCTCCAATAAAGGGGCGATATTGCGTAGCACCACAGCGACTTACTACCAGCGTACGCTGGCAGTTGAGTCGGTAAGATACACCGTGGTCATGGAGTCAAAATTTCAACACACACACCCTCCTCATTCATTATACAAATGGAACGCTGCCTTTTTTCTTTTAGCGCCAGCTATTGCTGAGGTATGCATACCACAGGATGGTTCTGAAGGGCACTATATTCTCATAACCTGTATTCGAAAACGACCCCACTTTTTCCGACCTCACTTTCTGTGGTTTCACTTGGTTTTAGAGTGGGCGACCTCCGGTCTCTTCTCTAAATGCATGTTGTTTTCCTTCGGTCGATGTTTCTCGAGATTCCGTCGACAGATTTTCGTGTAGGTCGGAAGAGGTGTCCCTCCTGTCCCCGTCCGCCCCTCCTGCAAGTTTGGTGCGAAAGATTGTGTCACAGTTTTTGAGAAACGCGTCCGTTGTTGTATGTCTACGCGTAGATCACCTCGGCCTGAAAAACAAATTGGACGGTCGTGCCATGTCCTGCTCTTTAGCCAGAGACACGCCTACCTGACCTCACTCGCGCACTTCAAATGCCTTTCCATGCCCTGTCCGAGCCTAGAACATGCTTTCCTCGACCTTACGGTCTTTCCATGTCTCTCTCTCGCCAGAAACACGCTTACCTCGGCTTACACGGTCGTCCCATGCCCTGCTTTTAGCCAGAGACACGCTTGCTTACCTTGACCTTACTCCCATGGACTATGATTATCTGCCTTTCCATGTCCTGCTTAAGCCTATCACATGCTTCCCATGTTTAGCAGGGCTGTCCTCGTTAACGGTTTTTCATGTCGGAATCATCTCCCGCGTTACAGTAATATTTGGGCGGTAACTGGCCACCACGGCACAGTACGTTAATGTTTCGGCGGTAACTGGCCACCACGTAAATTCCGTACGGTAACTCGTCACCACGGTAATTTTTTGTACGGCAACCGGCCACCACGGTAATGCACAGAAATGTGTTTTTTTCTACGGTAACTGGTCACCACGGTACAAGTTGTACAGCAGTTAACCACACGTCGGGCCCTGTTTCGTTTGCTTGCTTTCAATTGTTCCCTAAGGGTGTAGTCACCGCACACCAAACGTCCGCGGCACATTCACCGAGCATCACGTCCGTCAACCAAACCGGTCGCATAAAAAGAAGGGTGAAAACCAGACAGCATGTATCCACTTCATCATTGCACGGGCAGGCTCTCGTGGCCTCAAGACGACGTAAAAGTCCATCGCTGCGCCAAGTCATATGCCATCAACAGGACAACACCCAACAAGCAAGCGCCGCCTTCCTCATCCACAGAGAAACGGTGGAATTGTTCATCGGTTCAACAAAAATATCACCACGAAAAAGACAGCGTGTGTGTCTATCTATCACCACGAAAAAGGAGTGTTCTGTGAACGGCAAGAAAAAAAAACATGGCTCGTATATAATACACTTCGTAAGTATAACATATAATGAAGAAAAAAGGGAAGACAGGGAAAGTGGGAAAAAAGGGGTGACGCGGGCCTCGAACCCGTCACCTTTAGGTCTAGAGGGGCACAGAGCTTTTTACTGTGGTGGACAGTAGAGCAACTGGAGTTTCTGTGCGGTAGATGAGATTATACTGTTCTTACGGTAACGTCCTCCGCGGTAACTCGAAAGCACGGGAATTCCGATTCTTCCGCGGTAATTTTTAGTGCGGTAATGGGGCACTTCAATTTGTTCGTTAACGGTTTGGGAGTTAACGGTAAAACCAATTCATCACGGAAACGATTTGGATGAGAACGGTAATTCTCATTTTTCACGGGATCACGGGAAACGGTAATTACCGTGGTTTTACTGCGGTAAAATTACCGCGGAGAAATGAACGAGGCCAGCTCTGATATTCAACTCTCGTCAGGAACACGCTTTCCTCGGCCTAAAAAATAATGGGTGGGTGGGTGGGAAAACGAACCGACGATGCTCTTGCTCTCCTTCTCTGTCTGTCTCCTCTCTCCGTGCTCTCGCTTTCTCCTTACTCCTCTTCTGTACTCTCCCCTACTCCTCCTGGTCTGCTTTACTTGCTCCTTTGCGTTGGGATGCTTCTTCTGTTGTGGGCAAGAGTCTACGTCGTTTCTTTTTAGAAAGTAAACATAACCTCACAGAAAGACTACCCGTTCGAGATATAACCTCAGGCGAAAGGGATGTGGTGAAGTCTTTTCAGTAAGTGGATTGAAACCGACTGGAGGCTGGGCTTATTTTGAGTTTGTGTAAGCCTTACACTGAGCTACCAGTGATGCCAGTTAAGAACAAAAGCATCTGTATAGAAGATACATTCTTAACACATCCCCGGTAGTTTTCTACTGGATCGACGACAGAAGTATCGGGGAGAAGCTCTTTCTATTCCGTTATACCTGCCTTACCGAGCTATCTTCTTCCTTCATTGCCTACTTGGTTCTAACCGTTCTGACAAAATACCAGGCTGTACAACACAGCCTTCCACTTTTGTCTTTCAATCCCCCGAAAAATGCCATTTTTATTATTGTGTCGCCGCAAGAGGGTCGGGTCTTGGAGGTGGATCTCTCCTTCCTCCCCGGCCCTCAATCTACTAAGGAATCCAAACACTTCCTTCCTTAAGCAGTAGGAACCAGGCTGACCATACTCCGCTGGTCGCCCAGCTTGGACACAAAACTTCTCCATCACGAAGCCTTGTTTTTCTCAACAATTTTGGATTCGTACTCACGATGCCTCCCCCCATTCTGTCCCTTGTCCCGGTTGTCTCTCGTATTCCCCTTCCCCTTCTTCCAACACTACCGACACCCATGGGGGGTCTTACATATTCGCCCTTACGTGTGCCATAAAGGCGTTCGACGACCACCTTCCGTCCTTCTTTATTATGGTCTCCGGTACACCTCTCGCGGCTAACCTCGTCGCCCACGTATTCTTCCTGAATGTAATGAGAACTCTTGCGGTTTTAGTTTCGCCCCTGCCCCTTTCCCTTCCTTCGACCACGCCTTGGCTACCGCTCTTATCCCCTTTCTCAGCTGTTCAGTTGCCTTTGCTCTCTGCCGTACCTCCCACTTCCCTTTTCTTTTGTGTAACTTCAACGGTGCCGTTGCACTCAATCCTTCGCTTCCATA